TCCTGGGCTCTCTTGTCTCCCTGCACCTGAAACAAAGAAAATGCAGCATCAAGTTTAACATTGAGAAAAAAACTAGTTCTCTTAAGGGAGGGAAGTAACTTCCTCTCATGCTACCAAATGATACAGAATAATTTTTATCTTAAAACAGGCTTGCTTGTCACTTGGGTCACTGAAAAAAACAGGGAGTTTATGGCCAGTAGACCTGGGAAGCCATCCTGAGTCCAGTCCTTACCTTGTGTTCTGGAGTTCCTGGCTGAACTCTCTTGATCTCTGCCCCCAGCTCTATGAACCTTTGGCTTGCAGCCCCAAATCGAGCATGCAGGATGCGGTATTCAGCATAATCTCTCTCAAAGTCCTGCTCATAAGAGAAGTAATTCATTTTTACCTTATTGCTGACATTCCCAGACCTAGTCTTACCTTCCTGAACTTTTTATATTCCTGGACTATCTTTTCTTCCAGCACCTGAAACAAAGAAAATGCAGCATCAAGTTTAACATTGAGAAAAAAACTAGTTCTCTTAAGGGAGGGAAGTAACTTCCTCTCATGCTACCAAATGATACAGAATAATTTTTATCTTAAAACAGGCTTGCTTGTAACTGGTCACTGAAAAAAACGGAGTTTATGGCCAGTAGACCTGAGGTCTGGTTCCTAGGATATTTGAAGCCATCCTGAGTCCAGTCCTTACCTTGTGTTCTGGAGTTCCTGGCTGAACTCTCTTGATCTCTGCCCCCAGCTCTATGAACCTAGGTCTGGTTCCTAGGATATTTGAAGCCATCCTGAGTCCAGTCCTTACCTTGTGTTCTGGAGTTCCTGGCTGAACTCTCTTGATCTCTGCCCCCAGCTCTATGAACCTTTGGCTTGCAGCCCCAAATCGAGCGTGCAGGATGCGGTATTCAGCATAATCTCTCTCAAAGTCCTGCTCATAAGCATGTTGCTGCTCTGCAGTGTGGATGGCCCCATATTGCCTGCCAGGAGCAGAGTTAAGTTACCACCTTCAATTTCATTACCTGCCAAAGCTCCAAGCTTCCAGGAAGTTCATCTAAATCTCATATGCACAAGGCATGATAAACTTAGAAATGGCAGGGGACTCACAGGACGTAATCTGGTACCTCTTCAGGGCTTGGGGATTCTGAGTCTGTGAAGGAAGGAAGAAGACATGAAGGTGATTATCGGCCCTTTCCCCCACTGTGGCAGTTTTATCCTCTTCTCATTACTCTCATTAACTCACCTGCTTGAACTGAGGGACTGTGCTCCAGTCTGGGGCCCATGTCTTCATGTTTATTTTCTTGCTCCCAGTCTTCTCCCTCTCGTAGGTCCTGAGTGGGCAGTCCTTGTAGTGGACTTGGGGCTAGAGTTCTGAGCCTCTTTTCTTTCAGTTTTATAGTGGCTGCAGGTGCTGGACGCTTCTGTTGGGGAAAATACTTGTGTCACACTAATAGTATGTCAAGAAGCCTCCTCTCTGTGCCCCCTACTCTCTCTCTCGAAAATTATTTCCATGTGATAATCTCTGAGCATCAAAATGAAGGATCCCAATTTTAAAACTTTAGCCTGATTGGACAGATCTCTCTGAAAAACTGTTACAATTTACCTTGTTCAGATGTTTCTGGCTAGCAGAAGGCAGTGCCTGGTCAGGCTCTCTGTTTGGAAGACAGGTCTGGTTCCTAGGATATTTGAAGAGGGAATGGAAGAGATGAAGGCCGGAGTAGGAGGTAGAGCTAGATTTCTTATTGTATCACTTAGGGTGGAGATTCGAGGAAGGGTTTCTCAGCTTAGTCCCACTCTGCCCACGTACCTCACTTCCCACTGTGCCATGTGTTCCCTGGAGGATCCGGGGAGTGACCGTCTTTGGCTGCTTGCCCGTGGATCTGGCACCTGGCAGGGAAAATGGCAGGGGCACTTGGCTACCTGGGCGTCAGGCTTTGCCCCACCTTATCCCAACTGCCTGCAGTTTCTTCTGGCCTCACCTCCTCTAGTGCCATCTGTGGCTGTGAAACTGCATCTCTAGAATAACCCCCGATGTGCCAATTCTCAGGATCTCTGGAAGCTTCCATCAGGTTGTGGCCCTGACCTGAAGATGGGGCTGGGAGAGAATCCATGGCTGCCCAGATACTGAGGCGCTCCCTGAGTGGCCCCAGGCAGTGCAGGCGGTTCGGCCCAGGTCTGGAAAGAGGTGGTGGAAAACACACCGGGAGGGTGGAGAACTTTTAAAGCAGCTGTGGGCATCCCCGTCCTGACTTCCCACAAACCCTCTCTTACCTGCCTAAGCGTTGGTACACAAGGTCCAGGCCACCGCCAGGGCCCTCCTGGCCACACTGGGACACTGTGAAGGAGAAGAGGCAGGAGCAGCCAGGGCCTGGGAGCCTCAGATACTGGGAGTGAAAGGAGACCGTAAGCCCCAGGAGCCAACCCTGCCCCCTCCTGCCAGTGCCCTTTCTCCCCGAGCCCGCCCGAGACTGAAGAGGGGTCCCGGGGGACTCGTTAGCACGCCAGGTGCAGCTGGGCCCGAGTCCCCAGGAGGCTGAGAGGGCACAGACTCCAACCGCAGCCTCCTGGGGCCGCCACCCCAGCAGCCCCCTCACCCCCTTCGGGCTCAGTTCTCAGGAACTTCCTCAGACCGTGACCGTCTCAGTCTCCCGCCCTGAGCCCGCGTCTGTTCTCCCCGCACACATCCGTTCCAGCCTCAGGCTCCTCACCCAGAATCTCCAGTCCCGCCTCAGTCTGCCCAGCAGACCTGAAGCCGGCGCTTCTGTCTTTAAGTGGAGCGGAATCTGCAGCCTCTAGTCTAGAGGCTTCTAGGCGCAGGGGGGCGGGGGCGGGTGCGGGTGAGAGCCTGGCTGCCAAGAGCCCCAGGTCCGGAGGATGGCAGACCCAAAAGGGGATTCCTGGCTCCGACACCTGCTGCAGCACTTTTGCTTTTTTTCCGCCCGCGGTACTGATACAGATCCGAAACCAGTTTCTAAGGATGGAGAGAAAATCGGCCCCTTGAGTGCCGTGGCAGCGGTGAAGCTTGGTTGTCGAGGGCTGGGAAGATCCCCATGGGTTAAACACGTGAAACTGCTGTGATAGGGAGTTGGCCCACTCCCTCAGGAGGACAAGGGGTGCCGTGAAGTTGCCAGATATTCTGTAGGTCCAGATCCTGGTGCAGTGAGATCCCAGGACCAATCTCAGGTCAGCCCTTGGTGTTTCCACTCCTCCCTATCTATATAATCTATAATAATAAAAGCATAATATGCTCATTAGACCAGTGTACTCTGGACAAAGCTGGGGCTGGGAGGGAAGCCCAGGTCCAGGGTGCCTCCAGGTGGCCAGAGGGATGCCAGCCCAGGTCCCGTATGCCTGCAGCCGGAGGGAAGCAAGCCCAGGTCCCAGGTGCCAGAGGGATGCCGGTGCAGGCAGCCAAGGGAAGGAAAGCCAACTCTTGCACAAATTTTGTGCATTAGGCCTCTAGTCCTATGTAATAAAACCCTAATATGCAAATAGACCCAACGGTGGCACAACCTGTGCTGACCACCAGGGAGCAGCAAGCAGGTGGGCGGTAGAGAGTGAGAGGTCCTGGACTGCAAGAGGGGCAGGCTGGGCGCAGGGACACCCACCCCTTCCCTGCATGAATTGTGTGCATTGGGCGGCTAGTTTGGGTATGTTTCCCAATAGCCCTGATGTTGTTCTCTTTTCTAACCAGGACCCCTCTGCTAAATCTCAACCTGCATAATCCCAGGTGACCTTAATGCCCTCCACCCCAAATCAAATTGACGACAGTACATTTGTCAAAACTGATCAAATTGTATTTAAAACATTCTATTTTAATGTATGTAAATTATCCCTTAATAAAGTTTAAAAATCAGTGCAATAAACCTCCAACAACAAAAACATTTACTGGTCCGTGTCCTCAGGGCTCTCTACTACTCTGGGTGACAATTTGCTAATCAGATAAATCTTGTGGCACTAGGTAAAGCTGGTCTCCCAGGGTTCCTTTTCTTCTCAGAAGACATCTGTGGCCTTTTGTTAGATCTTCCTGGATTAAAATCAAAGGGGGAGGGTGGGAAGGGTGGCGGTGAATGAGGGCATAGAGGGGATAAATGGTGATGCGGGGGGGGGGGAAAAAAAGAATAAATAATATGATTGACTAACAAACTGCCCAGCACTTACTGGGCAAACTTGGTGAATAACAAGACCTGCTTTTATTAGAAAATTAAAGGAGAGACTAGAATGGTGAAATTTTCCAGACAGGAGGGAAGGAGCGGTGCTGTAAGAGGAGGCAGCCGGGGAAGATATTTGTTGAAAGGAGGTAGGGATCTAACATTTGTTGGGTGTCCGTTGTTAGGTGTCAGGATCTTTGCCCGTTATTTAATCCCTATAATAGTTTTATAGAGCAGGCATTGTCCACATTTTTCATACATTCATTCAACAAGTACTTATTGAGCTCTGTACCAGACACTGTACTGGGTCCTTGGGCTACCTCAACGAACAAATTCTTGTTTTGGGAGACACTAAACACACCTAAGAAATAAGCATTAAAAATATAGTGTATGACCTTAGCTGGTTTGGCCCAGTGGATAGAGCATTGGCCTGCAGACTGAAAGGTCGCAGGCTTGATTCTGGTCAAGGGCATATGCCCAGGTTGCAGGCTCGATCCCCAATAGGGGATGTGCAGGAGGCAGCCAATCAATGATTCTATCTCATCATTGATGTTTCTATCTCTCTCTCTCCCTCTCCCTTCCTCTCTGAAATCAATAAAATCATACTTTAATAAAAAATATATAGTGTATGGGTCCTGGCTAGTGTGGCTCAATTAGTTGAGCATCATCCCATGCACCGCAAGGTCGCTGCTTCGATTCCTGGTCAGGCACATGCCCAGGTTGCTGGTTCAGACAGTAGGCAACTGATCAATGTTTCTCTCTCTCTCTCTCTTTCTCTCTCTCTCTCTCTCTCTCTCTCTCTCCTTCTCTCTCTAAATATCAATAAAAACATATTTTACAATATAGATATAGTGTATGGGATGTGGAGGGATTTTGAAGAGGGTACAGGGGGTCAAATATATAAAATATATGGTGACAGGGTGGAAACAGACTAGAAAGGGTCAATTCGGGGGAAGGACATATGTAATACTGTCAACTATAAAGATTTTTTTTCAATATGACAAGGAGATGAGACTTTTGGGTGGTGAACACACAATGTAGTAGATAGATGATGTATTATAGAATTGTACATTTAAAACTTAATTTTACCAATGAATGCCACCCCCAATAAATTTAATTAAATAAAATAGGGCATGTTAAAAGGTGATAAGTTGCCCTAGCTGGTTTGGCCCAGTGGCTAGAGCGTCAGGCTGAGGACTGAAGGGTCCTGGGTTTGATTCCAGTCAAGGTCACATGCCTGGGTTGCAGGCTCCATCCCCAGTGTGAGGCGTGCAGGAGGCAGCCGATCAATGATTCTCTCTTATCATTGCTGTTTCTCTCTCTCTCTCTCCCTTCCTCTCTGAAATCAATAAGTGCTATAGAACAAAAGAAAAAATAGAGCAAGGTAAGGGGGTTTGGAAATAGAGCAGGGTTGGGAGGGTTGACCATATATTAAGTAAGGTGATCAGAGAAGGCCTTCTGGAGAAGATGAAATTTGAGGAATGCCCAAAAGGAGGTGAGGGAATTGGCCAAGCTGTACAGTTGGAGGACATGCTCTTCAGAAGAGGGACTAGCCACTGCAAACTCTAAGTCACAAGTGTGCTTGAAGGGTTTGAGGAAAAGTTGAGGCCAGTGTCACTGGAACAAAATGAGTGAGGGGAAGAGTAGTAAGAGATAAAGTCAAGAAGATAGGGAGCAGAGGGAATTAGTCACGAAGGGCCTTGTGGGCTATTGTGTAAACTTTGGCTTTTATTTCGAAGGAAATGGGGAGTCACTGCAGGATTTTGAACAGAGGAGTAACATGAAGTCACTTCTATTTTAAAAGGATCACTCTGGCTACTGTGTTAAGAATAGACTAGGGCCATGGTTGGCAAACTGCGGCTCTCAAGCCACATGTGGCTCTTTGGCCCCTTGAGTGTGGCTCTTCCTAAGCCAGCTGTGGGCAAACTACGGCCCGCGGGCCAGAGCCGGCCCGTTTGAAATGAATAAAACTAAAAAAAAAAAAAGACCATACTCTTTTATGGAATGATGTTTACTTTGAGTTTATATTAGTTCACACAAACCCTCCATCCATGCTTTTGTTCCGGCCCTCGGGTCCAGGTTAAGAACCCATTGTGGCCCCCGAGTCAAAAAGTTTGCCCACCCCTGTAAGCCTTAGGAGTACCCTAATTAAATTAATAACATATAGTTTAACTTAATAATATATAGTTTAAGTTTAAAAAATTTGGCTCTCAAAAGAAATTTCAATCGTTGTGCTTGTTGATATTTGGCTCTGTTGACTAATGAGTTTGCCGACCACTGGCCTAGGGGAACAAGTATAAAAGCAGTATGACCTGTTAGGTGGCTATAGCAGTAATCCAGGCTAGAGATGGTGGCAGCTTGACCAGTGGATAACAAAGCACGTGGGAGAAGGGATAGGGTTCTGGATATGTTGAGGGTAGAGAATTTCCTGGTGGGTTGAATGTGGTATGTGAGAGACAAATGCCATTAAGGATAACAAGGAATGCTCTGGCTGGTTTGACTCAGTGGATAGAGCATCAGCTTCCGGTCAAGGGCACATGCCCAGATTGCGGACTCGATCCCCAGTGAGGGGTACGCAGGGGGCGGCCTATACATGATTCTCTCTCATCATTGATGTTTTTCTCTCTCTACCTTCCTCTCTGAAATTTAAAAAAAAAAAAAAAGGATAACAAGGATTTGGGGCCAGAACACTAGAAAGATGAAATTGTCATCGACGGAGGAAGGGAAGACTGCATGTGGAATAGTGTTAGTTCTGACTATGCTGAGTTGTCCTAGAATCCACATGGGGATGTGGAGCAGGCATTTATATAAACAAGTTGGGAGCAGGTGCAAGATGTCTTGGGCTAGGGATGCAAACTTGGTAATACAAAACATGTGTGTGCGTATGTGCCATTGAGTCAGCTCCAACTCCCGGCAACCCTATGAATGAGAGACGTCCACAGTGTCCTGTCCTCAAAGCCTTACTCAGCTCCTGTAGCATCATGCTACAGGCTTCTTTTATGGTGTCAGTTCCTCTCATATGTGATCTTCCTCTTTTCTTGTTGCCTTCAGTTTTTCCAAGCTTTATTATCTTTTCCAGAGAACCCTGACTTCTAATTTTGTGCCTGAAATAGGACAGCTTCAGTTTTGTCATTTTTGCATCCAGCAACTTTTCAGGATTGGTTTGCCCTACTACCTGCTTGTTCATCTTTCTGTTGGTCTAGGCCCGAGTATCCATAGAACTCTCTCCAACACCAACTTTCAAATGAATCATTTTCTTTTCCCTATCAGCCTTCTTCACTGTCCAACTTTCACATCCAGATGCAGTAATTTGAAATGCGAGGGCGTGGGTGATTTTAGCCTTGGTCTCTAATGACACACATTTGCTACAAAACATGTAGATGGTATTTAAAACCATGAGGCTGGATGAGATCACCCAGGAAGACAGAGGAGAGCCCTGGGCACTCCAATCTCTAGAAAGAGGTCAGGGTGAAGAAAAGCCAAGCCAATTGAAGGGAAATGGCCAGGGAGGAAGGAGAAGCACCAAGAACACCAAGAGAGTGTGATGTCCTGAAAGTGAAGTGAAAAAAATGTTTAGAGGGGAAGGGATTGATCAAGCGTGTCAACTGCTGTGGATAGGCCATGTAAAATGAAGATTTAAAATTGACCGTTGTAATAAAAGTTCTCTAAAATTGACAGTGCTGATGGTTGCACATATCTGTGATTATACTAAAAGCCATTAAATTGTGCACTACACTTCGAATGGGTGAATTCTATAGCATTTGAATTCTGTCTCTTTTTTTAATCTTCACCTGAGGATATTTTTTCCCATTGATTTCTAGAGGGAGTAGAAGGGACGGAAGAGTGGGGAGGGGAGAGAAAGAGAAACGTTGACAGGAGAGAGACACATCGATTGGTTGCCTCCTGCACACGCCCCTACTAGGGCCTGTGAACCTGCAACTGAGGTAATTGCCCTTGACCGGAAATGGAACCTGTGGCCTTTTAGTCCACAGGCCAGCACTCAAACCATTGAACCACACCGGCCAGGGCCATCTTCCTCATTTTTAAGTGTAAATTCAGTATTGTTAAGTACATTCACATTGTTGTGCAGCCAATCTCCAGAACTCCTTTCTTCTTGCAAAACTGAAACTCTATACCCATTAACCAAGTTCCCCCCCCCATTTCATATTCCTCCCAGCCTCTGGTAACCACCCTTCTTCTTTCTGTTTCCATGAATTTGACTACTCCAGATACCTCATGGTGGCATCATAAAGTATTTTTCTTTTTGTGACTGGCTTATTTCACTTAGCATAATGTCCTCAAGATGTATCCATATTCTAGTATGTGTCAGAATTTCCTTCCTTTTTAAGGCTGAATAAGATTCCATTGTATATAATATCCTATCTAATAAAGAGGTAATATGCAAATTGACCATCCCCCCAACATATAAGAGGGCCGCCACAAGATGGCCAGCAGGGGAGGGCAGTTGGGGGGGGGGGGCCAGGCCAGCAGGGGAGGGCCGTTAGGGGCAATCGGACCAACAGGAGCGCAGTTAGGCATCGATCAGGCTGGCAGGGGAGTGATTAGGGGGTGATCAGGCTGGCAGTCAGAAGTGGTTAGGAGCAATCAGGCAGGCGAGCGGGTGGGAGCCAACAGTCCTGGATTGTTAGAGAGATGTCTGACTGCCCGTTTAGGCCTGATCCCTCTGGGGTCCTAGATGGGAGAGGGTGCAGGCTGGGCTGAAGGACACCTCTCCCTCCCCCTACATGAATTTTGTGCACTGGGCCTCTAGTATTTATATATTTTGTTTGTTTGTCCCTTTATCTGTCAATGGACACTTGAATTGCTTCCATTTTTGGCTATTATGAATAATGCTTTAATGAACATGGGTATACAAATACCATATTATTATTTTATTTATTTTTTAAAAGTTTTATTGGTTTTAGAGAGAGGAAATGAGAGAGAAAGAGAGAGCAAAACATTGATCAGTTGCCTCCTGCATGCACCCTGACTGGTGACAGAATCAGTGGCCTCTTGGTGCACAACAAGATGATGTTCAACCAACTGAGCTTCACCGGTCAGGGAAAAATACCATTTTTTAAAAAATGTATTTTAAAACATTACTCTGAGAAGGGCTGCATGACACAAAAGAATTCCAGTAAGTGGTCTGGCTAGGATTTGAACTCAGGCCACCCGGTTCTGGAGCCTATGGTTGCCCTCCACACTTACGAGATCATGCCACATCAGCAGCCTATAGTCTTTTACATCAGGACAGGTTCTGCATCCATATATGGAAGAAAAGGAAACAGACATTTTCCGTGTATGCATGTGACCCTATTTCTATAGAGTTATTACTTTGGGTCTTCTCGTTCCCTTTCCCCTCATGCTCCTCATCACCACATGGTTTGGACCTAGAGATTCTGTCCTTTGAACATGGGAATGTTTCTCTCCTTCTTATCAGAATCTGCTAGGCCTGCAACCCTGTGGCTCTGAGGTGTCGCTCAGCTCTGAGAGTGTCCACTTGCCTGGGAGCCACATGTCCTTCCACAGTCCCAATGCTGCTGCATTGAGGGTCCACTTTGACATATAGCCCCAGCATAAGAACTGAAACCCTGTCGAATCGAGCAAGAGTAGGGCTATCCATATTTTCCGACAGAGTAGCCCAGACTCTGCTATGTATTATCAGCTCTTTGCCTCTGAACTTCTGTCCAAAGGGTGAGGGAGAACTAGAAAGGAACTCTTGATGGGAACAAATAAATAGCTGGAGTTTAGTAAGCCGGGAGTGAGAAGCAGAGAAGAGAATTGGAAGTGGGAAGGGTTGGAAACTTGCATTATCCCCTGGTGTCTCCCAAAGGAGAGAAGGAGGGGGGATAGAATGGATGAATGCCTGCATAATACAAATGCAGTTCAGCTGAGCCAAGGGAGAAGCAGAGGTATGCGGGAGGAGGTGCTGCTCTGAGACCTCAGCTTGCTCATGATTTGTTCACAAAGGTAGGTAAGATGGGGAGGAGGTGCTTGGTGGAGGCAAGGAGCTATTCAGGAGCACCAGTGGTCAGGAGTGAGATGTCATCACCCAGGCCCGAAGAAGCCCAAGGTAAAGTGCCTCAGCTCCCCTCCTCAGGTATTTCCTGATCCATACTTAACAGCTCTTCAAGAATGGACACCTCAGTCAGCCCCAAGCCTTCCAGGACTTAGAACCTGCTCCCAGTGCAAAGCCACCTTTCTGTGGGGATAACTCTAGCCCACACTCTTCCTGCATTCTTCTCCTATCCTAGGTATCTTTGTCTCTGGACCTGTTCCTGGATGTTTATCTGTTTCTTTCTATCAACACTTTC